ATAATACTTTTGAGTTAGTTGCTTTTTGTTAGTTATCCTATGTCTATTATCAGGCCCAGAAGCTTGGCTAACTTTTAAGGAATCTTCATTATGTTACTTCGATTGAGCCTAGGTTCATTAGCATTATGCATAACAATGGTCACATATTTCTCACAAACCACTTTGGTATCTCCGATTTTAAATATTCTTATGCCTTCACAGATATCAACAAAAGTTCTGCTTTTAGATAGATTTCTTTACACAATAATGTGAAGTTCTCAGTTTAATAATCTAATAAATTTCATTTATAATTTTTGTTTAAATGTTGTTAATACTTTTATATATATTATTTTTATAACTTATTATTTTCGTGCTAGAGCTCATTAACTTTGACGAATCTCGTTTATATTTAATTATTTTGTTTTATTATTTACTTATCACATTTTTATAGCTATAATTAAAGCTGATTGTGGCTGTTTGCTCAGCCGGGTATACCGCTAGCCAGGCTGTTTTGTAGCTGGCAATTTGATAAGGTCTGGCAGGATTCCATTGTCGAGTATTGTCCTTTATGAGGCTCTTACTTGTTCTCATTTTATGACATTTTTAAGTAAGTCGCAAGGCGCTCGCGAGTTCTTTTTGTTTTTGTAATTGAATGCGTTAAATTACAGCAAATTTATGCCTATCAAGTTTGTTGTTGTTGTTGTTGTTGTTGTGTGAGAGGCCCACGAGTGCCGTTTACGGTTATTTAGGCGCAGGCACTAAGTTTTTTTTACGATCTAGCGACAGGCAGGGACAGTAACTGGGTGTTGGGGAGCTCTGATAGGGATTGGCCGCATAAAAAATGCTTATTTGCAAAGTTTAGTGGCGGCAGCGCTGACTCATGCGACGCCCTACAGGTGCCCCGCCCATAGCTCCCTCGCAAAGGAAACAGACTTGGGGCAAGGTTACGATTGGGGACTTGAAAATCAAAAGAAGAAGTTGGCTTTGGCGCCACGGAAGTGCAGAGCGCGTAGCTAAAACTTGTTTTTCTTACAGTGCAGCGTGCTGTACGACTGAGTAGGAGGGGACACAGTCGGCGCTGGGCGGTTGGGTGGTCTCTCGCTGACGGCCTTGAAAGTTGTGCTATGCGTGCAGTTGGAACGGAAGTGGAAGTCGTCGACGACTCCCCTCAGCTTGGATTATCCGCATTACCTGCAGGCGTCAGTGGCGTTGCCCAAAGGGCGGCCGAAAGTTTTGTGGGTGCCACGTTAGCCGCCAGTTGCAGCACCTTGACTGGCAAGCGTTAAAGTACAGATCACATTATAAAACATATATATTCTTAAACTGCCTTTAAATTAAAAAAATAAACTTTTCCATTTAATTGCAATGCATTAACAGCATTTGCTTATCTGCTGACCACACCCCTCTGCACACGCCTCTGGGTAAACGTAAGCCATAGTTAAAAGCATTTTCAGTATGTAAATGGAAGCCCAAAAATATGTTGAGGACAGTTTGAATGTACATTTTGGCTTTTGGCTTTGGGTTCCACGAAAATCCAATAGAAATTTATGTCATTTAAATTTTTCGCAATGCATAAAATGCCTTAAGAACAAAATATATGGCCGGCAATATATATATAGAGTCGCTATCCCTAGGAGACAGAGAGAGAGCAAGAGAGAGTTGAAAAGACATCTTCAAGGTGCGCAGAGCCGCTCGAATTGCCATGAAATTTATGCGCTTACCAACTGACTGGCAACAGCAACAGCAAGAGCAATATCAGCAACAACAAGTTGACAGCATTTGGCTGAATCTCTGAAATATTGTATTTTCCCCTCAGCTCCCAGCTATGCCAACTTCCCCTATATCAGCATGGCTTTGCTGTCTTCCCTTTTGGGCAATTTTCAACTGCTGATTTTCCAATCAGTGCGCAGTTTGTTACAACGGAGCTTATTGAAAATATTTGTCCTGCCACGGAGTTGAATGCGAATGCGAATGCGAATGCGAATGGGAATGTCATCTTCATTAGTCTTTGTCTTTGCGAAAGAGACAGCAAGAGCGCAATTGACAAATACAGAGAGAGAGAGAGAAAGGGAGATAGAAAGCGAATGACAGAGAGGAAGCGTACAGGAAGCACTTGCAACAAAGATTTGCCACAGCGAGCTTTAACTACGGCCTGACTGCAAAGCAAAAATCAGGAAGCCTTAATAAAAATAAGAACTTTCTAACTGTTGTGCAGTGATTCAACTGGACTACAGCAGCTCAAGTAATTGCAGCTTAGTCAAAGATATATAGTTTAAGCCATGATTAACAGTGAGGCAGACGAATACGGCAATCATTAAACTGTTTCGACTGCATTGCAGCCAAATGCATTAGCACAAGCTGAAAAATAAAAATTAGTTAATAATAAATAAAATAAATAAAATCCATTGCTAATAAATATTGCACGATAAAACTAAATTGTTGCATAAATGTTTTTAAGGCAGTTTATTTTTAAAGATGCCACAGCCACATAACATAACATAAATAACTTATTTATTACGGTAAAAGAGCATAATTGTGAATTTGCTGACTGCATACTTTGTGTTGCATAATATAAAATTGAAGATGCAACAGAATTCCTATACAGCGAGGGGTGGGTAATCTATTCGGATAATGGAATATATTGCACTGCAGCAAATAAAATAATTTTTGATTAACAGGAATAAACTATTTGCTTCATTAGTTGAATATCAGTAAAAAAAATTGTTTTCTTGCAATTTTCTGTGGCATTTGATTGTGTGGCACTTGCTACCCACGAGGGCCTGTCACTTAATGCTAATGCACTTTGTTGCTGTATAGTGGAAACAATGCAAGTGGAGCATTGCGAGCAATTGAAAATCGTGCGTTGCAACGGCTTGTTTTTTTTTGGCTTTTTTTTTGTTTTTGACACACAGGAGACTCGACTCCCACTCGCAGCGCAGCTCAACGAACTAGAAAAAACAACTTCTCGACTGAATGCAAAAAAAAACCAGAAAAAAAGAGAAAACTTGAAAAGCTGCGAGTGTGTGTGCGCGAGTGCGTGTGTGTGTGTGTGACACGTTGGGGAGCATCTGTAGATTTGAAGTAGGCTCTCCAGGGGCTCACTCTGACAATTGTGCGAGTATTTTATTTCATTTCTCTTTGTTTTCTCCTATCCGAAATATTTGTCTCATTGCCGCGCGAATTTTCGTATTTTTTTGGCAATTGCCGAGCTGCTGCGCGAGCAAACTAAAAAATATGGCCAAGTTTCTGGCTCGGGGCGATCTCCGTGGGCGATGGCGACAATGTGAATTTATAGCGGGCTACTAGGGAATACACCCATCCAGCTGCCGTATGTACTATACCTATACATGCGAATGGAGATATATATATTTATATAGTTATATATACCCTAGCTCTACGTCGATACGCACACACACACACACACACTCACATTTAGCTCGTGTGGCTTTTACATTTGTCGCTCGGGGGTTTCGTTTGTTTGGCCTGCTTAAAGCACCGTGAAAATGTTGGCAAAGAAAATTGAATAATGTGCTGGCACGTAACTAGGTAGTGAGCGTAGAGGGCGGCCAATGGTGGGCGTTGGGCGGTGCGAGTGCAACAGTCAGTGTCGCGCTTTGTGGCATGTTAGTAATGTGACAAGAAGATTTATGCAGAGCCCTGAAAGTTGCGCACTTTCAAATTGATAGTGGCCTACAAGGATTTGTACCGACAAGGACCTTTCAACTTTTATGTGGAACGAGCTAAGCAAAACAGAACATGCGCAAAGTTGTTCATAAATATTGATGAAAATTGAGTAAAATAAGGATAAATGTCTGAGAATTGTTTCAAAATTAAACTCTACACATATGTAAAGGCATAAAAGTATCCATGTCTATGTAAAACTTTGATTAATTGACTGATTGAATTACCGACTTACTGACTGACTGTCTGAATAAGAGGAAAATTAAAGCCAGGGCATTACATACTTCTAATAAAAAAAGAGTGCTATGATTGCCTGACTGAATACAAACACAAAAAGCTAATTTAATATACATTTATTAAACTGTCAGTAAGTTAACCGACTTATCTGCATCTTTCCATTAGCTTAAATGGAAAATTAAGACAGTACAGACGTTAAGTTAAGGATTGACATAGATATAGATTAAATAACCAATAAAGCTTTAAGTCGATTTCATTGAAACGGGAAAAGTTACCGAAGGCAGGCTCTGTGATCGACGCGTTCATTCATACGAGCAGACAGACAAGGCTTGCGCGATTCAGCTGCTCGGCCTTGTCAAAAATATATTAAAACTTTATGCAGTCTGCCACACAACATTCTGCTTAATACAAACTTTTTCAGAAAAACAATTTCCACTGAATGGGCTCAAAGTATAAGAAAATAATTAGCTGTGCATTGACCGATTTTTTTGTTATTTATATAAAGTCAATTTCATAAATACTTATATTTGAAACAAATTTTTAAGACTACGTTTGTCTGATTGACTTTTAACTAGAAACTATCTAAAAGAATATTTATAAAAATAAAAAATAAAATAATAAGCAATTTATAAATGTTTGATTGACTGACTTATGAGGAATAAAGAGCTAAAGGTCAAAGAGTTATATTAAGCTATATCCTATTCACAAAGTATACAACAAAATAGAAATGTAATAATCTTAGCTGCAAGACCTCACTACTAAGTTAAAAGCTTTTGGACAGAAATTAATATATTTTACTGCAAGTGTGATTCAGTAACTAAATACTTCTGGAACAATTTTAAATATTTTTCTTTTTAGATTGTTTGACTTTTGACCTTCAAAGATCTTAATTATCATTCTGCATATTCATTACAACAAAAATATAATATTTGCTGTAAGTTACTTAACTAGAAATCACGCATGTCATGTAGCTTAGTTTTCATGGCAAGGAAACTGAGGATGCGTTAATTAATTAATGTTTACAATAATTTCATTTTGAATGAATGAGTTATTTGTGTGTGCCTGAAAGTGTGAGTTTCTGAATTTGAAAAGGTTGCACTCACCTTTAATTATCACAAGGAAGATCAACGCGACAAACAGCGACAAACACGGCGACGACGAGTCCATGTCCTTGGTTTTTTGTTGTTTTGCGTTGCTTTTAGTTTGAATTGCAAATTGTTGCTGTTGTTGTTGTTGTTGTTGTTGCGAGAGCGAAAGTGTCTGCAACAATGTGTTGGCCTGTCGCCCCGGGTTTTAAGTAGCCAGCACCCGGCTTGTCCCTCGCCACGCCACGCCCCCACTTGGTCGACCTGTTCGCTCTGGCACGTTTGCCGTGATTAACACTAAGAGTCAAAAGACAAACGCGTCGAGTGGGTCAAAGTTCAGCCAAGCTCTGCTGCTCTCGCTGTCTCTGTCGCACACTTGTTCTCCCTCCCTCTCTCACACACACTCTCGTGCTCGTCCTCTCTTGTTATGTGTAAGATATTTGTGCCGTCTTATCTCGTTTTGATTTTAGAACTTCGTCTCTAATCCACTTTCATTAATCTCTGCAAATATTTGCCAGCGAAATTTCTTAATTCCCTTTTTAGTTTCTCGCTCTCTTTTAAATGTTATTTATTTTATGTTTTTTTTTTTTTTTTTTATCTACTGTGGTCTGTTTGCACTACTTTTATTTATTTTTTTTTGCTGTATTTTTTGTGAGGTTATGGCTGTTGCAAATTTAATTTCCGGGTTTCTGGTTACGCAGTTCCAGCGAGTTTTTTTATCAGCCAGAGTTTCAGTTTTTATTTTATTTTACGTCATTTCAATACTACATCAGCTTTATGTGTATTTTCTGTGTGTTTAGAAAGAGCTGGAGAAACCTTAGGTCGCAGTTAGTATTGTAAAATTTAAAATTTTAGTTTAGTCTGTTCAGTTTAGTATCGTTGTTTCGTTTAGTTGAGAAATGTTGCCTGAAAAATAGAAAAAAAGAGTGTAAAATGACTAAGGAACTTTCATTACATAAAGGCCAAACTTGCACTAGGCAGATAGATAATATAATTTTATGCTTAACTTTCTAAGAGCAAATAATAATAAATATTATAAATGTATCACAAAATATGTATTTATATTGGGTAATATTGTGAATTATTCTTGACTTAGTTTTGATCAGCTATACGCAGACGAAGTCGTTCTCGCGTTCAATAAAATTTTAAACTTTATTATAGTTTCCGGAATTATAACTACTTGTACATAAATTGAGTATGTTAGTGCTATATTTCCACAACAAAACCAGCTGTAGTCGAGGGTGCACGACGACTAGGTGGTACCCTGAACTCTGTCTGATTTACGTCTTTTAATATTTTCCTCAGCTAATTTCTAGCATAAAAAGCAGAAGCACTGCATCATTATATATATTATATATATTATATATATTATATATATTATATTTATTATATATTATATTTTCTTTCCAAAATTTCTATTCTTCTTTACCAGTTTTTTCTACTCTTTTCCACTATTCTTTTCTTTACTAAAATTTTAACTTATCTCTTCTTCTCTGCTATTCATTACTCTTCTTTGTGGTTTAATTCGTGGTTTTCTTTAACCTGAAATCCTTAAGCCCCTTAATTTTAATTCCTTTAAATGTAATTCCTTCTATTTGTATGATCCACAAAGAACAGCACATTTGTTTGAAGCTCTAACTTACTTGTAGCTGTACATAATGCCAGAAAGATAAACTTTTCTTTTAACGGTAACTCATTAGCCAATTCCCCTTTCACACTTTGCACTTTTACACCTTTAAACTTGTGCTTGTTTCTTTCGCAAGTTTCGTCTTTTGAAGTTAGTTGTTATTTTGCTGCAGGACTTAGCGTTTTGCGGTTGACTATATATACAGATTTATATATTTACCAGTATATATATGGACAGCAGTTCTTTGTGAGCATGTCGGATAGAAACCACAACAAAAAGTTGGCCAGACTTAATGTTTAATTAAAAATTGTGTACACAGTTTAACCCTATTTTGGGCTTTGACCTCATTAACTGACCAGCCGACTGTCGACTGTTTTCTGTCACCTTGCTAGCACGCGACGCCCATTAGGCTCTGAGCCCCTCCCACATTGATTAGTTTTTGTTTTCGGTCAACAAACTTGAGTAAATTAAAACAATGAATTTGCGCAAAAAACGCGCGAGCACAAAACCAAAAAAAAAATACATTAAAATAAAAGAAAAAACATAAAAAGAGGAGTAAAATATGCGCGCCTGGCGTAAATTAAAAATCCATAAAAAATGCTGGCGTGGGCGGCCACCAAATGGGCGGGGCGCACAAACGCGTTACTGATGCTCGACCAGAAGAAGGTGGAGGGCCAGGCAAATGGAGCTCACTGAGAAATGCAGTAATTGAAATACATGCGGCGAAGCTGCGTGTTACGTTCCGCTTGTTTCGTTGAAGAAGAAGAACTAGAAGCAATAGCAGCAGCAACAAAAATACTAAAGTCCGCTTTCAGCCATTCCCTTTAAGGGGCCCAACCACAAAAATGTTCACGTGCGCGCCACTTGCAATCATGCTTTGATTTATATTTTTCAAAAAATTTACAGGGTATTACAGCCTCATCAGTCGATTTGTTTTTTCTCTGATGAACTATATAAATCTCTAAAATATTACTTTATATGAACCGAACAGAACTTGGAGACCAACTACACATCTTTCTTATGTATATTTAAGTGAAATGTAAGTTCCTTTCAATGTCGGCAACCATTAAGAACATTGCAGTTCGCGCTCTCTGTGGTAGACAGCGATTTACCTGCAAAGATAGGTGATCCTAGGGACGAGACATTTTAGAAGTTCAGGTCAAGTTATTAATTTTTCTCTTAATAATAAGACAATTAAATTAATTGAGTTTTCATAGTATTTTTAGAGCTGAATTAAATTTCTACATTAGTTAAAAATCTAAATGCTTCTAAATGCAAAATATTTTATATTTTTGTTTGTTTATTTATTTTGTTCTAAAAGTGTATTTGAGCTTGAGTTAGTCTAAAACTTATTTAATTTTAAGCTGTACAACTTATTTAATTCACTGTCACATACAGAATATTATATATATTTTAATATAATAAATCGCGGACTTCTCTTTGTTTTGGGCATAGCTGAGGGGCTGTTATGCTGTTGCCACTCGCTGTCCCATTCGTTTCTGTGACCCTTAGCACCGCTTTTATTCCACCCTATTTGGTTTTATTTTGTCTCTGGTCCGCGTCAGCTGTTCGCGTAATTAGGGGCTTTATGAGTTATGTGGCAGGAAATGAAATGAAATGCTGCAAAAGTTTAAATTGCAAAGACTCTCTAGGACTTGATTTTTGCAAATGTGGCAGCGTGGCAGGGGAGCATTTGTATTTTTCATTGTTTTTTATTAAATTGCTTTGGCCTTGTCGCGGTTAATTAATTTCAAGTTTAGTTTTCGCTTTTCTTTTGTTTTTCTGTTGCGCTGGCAAAGTTTTTAAAGTTAATTTAATGCTTCACCAATGCCTGAGTCATACACAATGAGCCTTGAAATTGAAAACCCACTTACACTTCTATACCCCTCTCTGTCTCTCTCATTCTCTCTCTCTCTTTACATATATCTGTCTTTCTCTTTCTCCCTCACCTGACCGCAACCCATTTTTTTGTGCCAGTCAAAGTTGCAGTCGCTTAGGCGCGACAACAAAAACAAAAAAGAGCGAAAATGAAGTCCCTCTTGGCTGAAAGTTGAAGGTGCTTTTTGAGTTCCCTGCGGACAGGGCCTTACACCTGGCGAGGTACTACACATTTTTCACACATTACGTGGAAGAGTTGCCAGGCCGCTGAATTGGCAGAGTTACCAAACTGTTTTGCTTGTTTACATAACTCGTTTCCCCAGCTGGGGATACGCTTTTAGACGTTTTTTCACCTGAAGAGAGCTCAGCTCATAATTGAACCCTTTGGCATACACACGGGCAAACACCCACACACACACTGTTAAGCAAATTTGTTTGAGTTTATGCTTTAGGAAGCATAAAAATCGCCAACCAAAGCGATTTTTCGGCGCCTGCACTTCGTGCTGCAATTTTTCGGAGAACAAAAAATGTTTACATGGACAATGGCATATAATTTGACGGTGTCAATATTAGACAACATAATGTTAAGCAAAGAATCGGCTGTTTTTAGCTGGCTAAGCTGCAAGTAGATGATAAAGCAGAAGTTCTTAATAATATCGAGCAATTAAGTTTATAGACAGAACAAAAGAAAGCGAAGAGCAGATGCATTACCTTCAGTCAGTCTGTCTGTCCGTCCGACGGAACGCAGCAACCTCAAAGATTACTAAGCAAGAGACTTGAACTTTAACACACAACATATTCATTAGCATTAATAGGAGAGGTATAAAATATAGTTTGCAGATTCCGGTAATGAATACATCAAATTAGAAATATTTGTAATTTAGGATAACTACAATTTTTCACTCAGCGCAATTTTATACATTGTATATAGGCTATAAAATAATATAAGCGTAGACTTTATGATCATATATACAATGTAAAATGTATATGTCATATCGCTAAGAGCAAAGAGAGCTGTTACTATTGCCCATGAGGTTCTGAAAATGGACTTGAGTGTGGAAGACACAAGGAACTCGTTATTGGGCAAGGATTAGATGTATAAATTAGAATGGAAGTTGGCCAAGCTGACTCAATATTCGACATATACTTCAATTTCGCAATTTATTTGTATACTCTCATTGGAAATTGCAAAATGTAAAGCAGTATAAAGAGACACCAAGAGAAGAAATCTGAAATGCAATTTAATTTTGCAGATACTACCCAAGGCTTTCAACCTTATTCTCTAAAGATCAATTCAAGAGTATGGAGAATTTGCGACTCTGCAAAATGAATATAGAGATATATATGAATATCAAGTATGCTCCAGTCGTTAGCTTGGTTAATGACTCTTGTGAAGACAGTAGATGAAAATAAATTGAAATTTATTTTTATTTAATATGTATATATTTCTGGCTTCATCCGACATTATTTAGATATGTCAATTAAAAATTTTCATTCAAATTTTAATTATAGAAAATTAAAAACTAACAAATACACGCTTAAAACAAATCAACTGAAGCTTATTTAGGAAACTCATTCAAAAAAAGAATCGCATGAACCATTCATTTATTAGAATACTCTCAACCCGCTTCATTGGATAGATTCCCCTGCTAATTGTTAGCTTTATCTCTATATACCAAATAAATGCCAGCAAATAATCCAATGCTGAGCTGTTTAGCAAATACACACGCACATACACACAAATGCCAACACACTCACACATAGACTCGCGTAGCTAATCAACAAAAATTTTCCACATTTGTACATCAATGCGGGTTAAATTCGAGTGAACTGCACTCTAAAACATTTATGTGCACGTTTTCAATGGTAAAATTTCGTTTCCTATTGGGTTTCATTTTTGGTTTTTTTTCGTCCACTTTTTGGCATATTTATTTGAAAGTCACTCGACGCTGGCCTTTGCCTGCAAGGGGCCAGCACTCAACGGCACTAACATGCCGATAAACACTCGCACACACACTCCGACACGCACACTCACTCACACAAAAAACCACATGCAAATATTG